CCCCGAGACAAGCACAGCCAGATCCCCTCTTTTGGAACTGCCTTCCTAATTTGCTATGCGGTCCTTTGAATTTTATCAATGTTGACAGCTGCCCCTGGAAAATGACTTCAATTTTTAGTAGCAGCCAGAATCTGTCAGGCTAGTAATATAAGAGTAAACTCTGTTTCACGCACTCACAACTGCAAACCTACTTTTGCCCACCTCTGTATAAAGAGTGGAACTTAAACGTGTAACTTCAATTTACCTGATGATTTTTTAAAATTTTATTTTTCAAAAAATCAGTACATTTTCCATATGGTTTGATATACTTGCCCCTTCCCACCAGGAATGGTCTGTCAGTCACAGTGAGGCATTCATTCACTGGGCAGGTAGAGGCCCGAGAGATGGGCCCAACTGTTTGTTGTTCAGGATGAAAATGCTGCCCACAGAACAGACCTGTATCCACACTGCAGGTGTGATTACCTAAGGGGGACAGTGAGGAGCAGAAGAGGTTGGTAAAAAGTTCTGTGTGGGGCACACAAGTTCTCAAAGAAGAAATCTGATAAGACTTCCATCTTTCTCTTCCAAGACGCTTCACAGTACAGGGCTGGAGTTTCAGCATCAAATTGAGGACGCCAAGGATTTAGATCAGCTGATTAAAGTTCACTATAGGTACTTGTCAACCATCCATGATCGATGTCTGCTGAGAGAAAAGGTATGTGAGCCATCACCTGCGAACGTGTCCACTGAGGCAGGATGAAGCTGGCCAAGGGAGGTTGTCTCTCTGCTCTGAAATTTTATAGTTATTAAGCTTCTGTTTTGTAGAATATTCTTTAAGGAAAGACCAGATCACATGAGGTTACAAATGTGGGTCATGTTATCAGAGAAACAGGTGAGAACTATGTTGCCAGCCGCACTCACTCTGCTTTGCACTTGGGTTTAACTGGAAGTTTTATCTGCCCGTGTGGCCTAATAGTGCTTTATACAGGAAGTGTGTCCAACTCAGTGTGACAATTTGGGTTTAAGTTCTCTCACAAGCACTGGAAATACTTACCTCATGTCCCTGGTGAATTTCAGTGGCTATCCCAGGAAACGGTGCTGCCTGGTGGCCGGACTCTGTCGTGGGTGCAGCGTGTGTGGCTGAGCCCTCAGGCATGTTCAGAGCCAGGTGCCCTTCCTTCCACACAGGCAGTCACTGCACTGAGGAGCTTGCTCTGTGGCTCATTGAGGTTAGGTAAAAGTTTCGGTGTCAGTGTCCAAATGTTACAAGAACCTGTTCTGTGTGGCTTGGTCTCCAGGTCAGCTTTGTGAAAGAGGCCATCATGAAGGTGTTGAACTTGGCGCTCATGTTTGCAGATGGTTGGCAGGCGGGCCTGGGGGCGTGGCAGTAAGTATGTGGCTTGTGGGGCCTCTGTACTGTGTTTTAATTGGCTTCATCCTGTGAGGTTTTTTTCATCTCAGCAGTGCTTCTCATACCACTGATATTTAAGGAAAGAATTGAAGAATGTGTTCACCTAAAGTAGGTAGCATCAGGGTTTGTGTGATTCTTTTATGAGCAGTATAATAGTAAGAAAAATCTGAAGTCTTTTAATGAGGACAATCAAATATTTTTAGACTACATGCATGTTTTGTTGTGTAGGTTTTGTTAAGTTTTTATTACCGATGCTTAAAACATTCACAGAAGTAGAGAGAAAACAGCAGAACAAACCCTAGTGCCCATCACTCTGCTACTCACCCCCACTCATATTTGCTGAATTTTAAAGCAAATTCTGGATATCATGCTAGATTATAGCCCAAAGTTGTATTTTAGATGAATACAAGAAGAATTGTATGTTTGACTTGTGGAGTGTTTATTACTCACATTAGCACATAGAAGGGTAAGTGCCCTAATGTCAGAGGACCGTCGAGGACCCAGGAGCTCTTTCTATCCAGAGCATCCTGTCCTCTACCGTGAACTTGGATGTCCTATGGAACAGTTCGTTTGTCTCTGCCTTGTTTATAAAATTAATGTAATGCTGCAATTATTCATTATTTTTATTTTTCAATTACAGTTGATATTCAACATTATATTAGTTTCAGGTGTACAGGTTAGACATTTATATACCTTATAAATTGATTCCCCCAATGTAACACTGCTGCTGTTACTTCCCTAAATTAAAAGTTCAAGTCTGGTTGATGGCTGCTGTGATAACAGCTTGTCTTTAACCTGTGAGATGAGAGGTCATGGTAGTGCTGATCTCATTCTAAGTTTTGACCCATGGCTATATCAGAATACTCTGCATAAACTAAGATAGTAGTAAAGTTCATGATGACCGGCATGGAAATAGAAGTCTTACTTGCTTTATTATTGCCGTCTCAGAGTGTGTAAAGCATATTTCTCTTTCTCTGTCACTGGGGTGGAGGAGAAAATAGTAACACTGAATCATATGCTTTGCTAAAATTGAACTGTTTCCATTTCTTCAAAGAGCTGATTGTAAGAAAAAAGCAGAGGTGCCCTGGCTGGGTGGCTCACCTGGGGCATTGTCCGTACACCGAAAGGTTGTAGGTTTGATCCCTGGTTGGGGCATGTACAAGAGGGAAGCAGTCGATGTTTCTCTCTCACATCTATGTTTCTCCCCCTGTCTGTCCCTCCCTCCCTCTCTCCCCCTGTCTCTCTCTCTAAAAAAATCAATAAACATATCCTTAGATGAAGATTGAAAAAAGAAAAAAGCAGAGGTGAGGAGGATTTCAACCATTGCAATTTATGAAAATTAATTGATCCTGATTCACACTTAAAGCAGAAATGTGAAAAATTGCCAAAGCCATGTGAAATTTAATTTCACATAGACATACCCAACGGACATGGACAAAGTGTGGTGAAGGCCAAGTGAGGAAGGCAGGGGTGGTGGAGGTGAGGCAAGGGGGGGAAACAGTAGTGTTGACATTAAAAATCTGTAATAAAGAAAAAGAAATCATAAAGTATTTTTAAGCAAATAGTATTATAGTTCTGTGGTTTATAATTTATTTCCACTCTGATCTTTATTATTTCCTTCCTACTACTACTTCTGCATTTTTCTTATAGTTCTGTCTCTAATACTTTTAGTTGTAGGGTTATATCATTTATTTGAGCTTTTTCGTATTTCTTGAGGTAGGCCTGTAGTGCTACGAATTTACCTCTCAGGACTGCTTTCTCTGTATCCCAAATATTTGGGATTGTTGTGTTGGTTTTCATTTGTTTCTAGTTTTTTTATTTCTTCCTTGATCTCATTGGTAACCCGTTCATTGATTAATTACATCCTATTTAGCCTCCATTTATTTGAATGTTTTTGAGTTTTTTATTGTAGTTGATTGGTATGCCCTTGTGATCTGAGAGGATGCTTGATATGATTTCAGTCTTCTTGAACTTGTAAATACTTATTTTGTGTCCTAGCATGTGGTCTGTCTTTGAGAATGTTCCATATGCACCTGAGAAGAATGTTTATTCTGCAGCTTTCGGATGAAATGTCCTGTAAATGTCAATTAAATCCACATGATCTAATGTGTCGTTTAAGGTTGCAGATTCCTTAATAAACTCCTTTAGTCTTTTCTTTTTTTTTTTTTTTTTT